AATAAGTTAAAAAGTTATCGGCGTAGACTTGTTTCTCCACATTCGGAAATGGAATTAAAATGTTTCCACGTTTACGAGGTGTATGAAAATTACATGTTTTTTTTTTTTTTTTTTTTTTTTTTTTTTTTTTTTTTTTTTTTTTCCTTTTTTTTTTTTAAAGAAACACAAAATTTTTCCGTTTTTTTTTTTTTTTTTTTTTTTTTTTTTTTTTTTTTTTTTTTTTTTTTTATTCTCTCCTTTTTTTCTTTTATCTCTTTATTTCAAACCCATATTAAGGAGCGTTTTTTCCTTCTTGTGGAATAACAAAGAAACATTCGCTTCTTATTACTGAACTCAATTGCATTCGAACCAATGAAAATAAGTTTTCCACGTGGAATTTCTTTTTCGTTTTAACTTTTAGTATAATTCGATGGAGAGAAGAAAGTACGAAGGGGGGAGGGGGCGGTGTGTATGCTTTCGTGGGTGTGAAGGTATGGGTATCTATTCTTATTTATAATCTGTGTGGAATGAACAAACTTATGAACAAACGTAAATTATATGTACATCTTAATTTAGCACTTAATTGATGTAAGCAAAAATTGGTAAAATATGTCAAAAAGGTGCAGAAGAGAGTAGTAATTTCAGAAGTTGTTAATTCACGAAGTTGTTTTTTCAAAAAAAAGGGGAATTCTATCCTTTTCTGTTTACTGAATTTTTTGGAGTTATACAAAAAAAAAAAAAAAATAAAATAAAATAATAAATGTGAACTAAAATAATGATGTAAAATAAAAGCTCTAGAGAGATCACGTAATGGATTTATATGACACGGATAACATGCCCTGTTTACCATAAAAAAAAAAAAAAAAAAAAAAAAATCTAAGCCGGTGCTAATTGTACAATTACAAATCAATGTGCTGCAGTCGGATTTCACAAATCTGACTTGGTGCTGTGTGTGAACTAACGAATTAACAAATAATTGAAAAAAAAAAAAAAAAAAAAAAATTACTATTAATTTGTATGGAGAAACAAACGGGAAAAAATTTGTTGTGCACCTCCAAACCTTCTTCCGTCTTCAAAAGAATAAAAAAATTGACACACCCAATGGGGTAGCACACCACCTTTGGAAATCATTTCTCTAACTCTTTGTACAAATGTCAATTCCATCATCCAATCCATTTTAAATGGAAAAGTTCAAAGTTAGTATTCATCAGAAACACATTATAACTAGTGTTAAAAAAATAAATTTTATTTGGAACATCCTGGTCAATGAAAAAAATTTTAAAAAGTTGTGGGTCTTCATAAGTCCGTACACTATATACCTTATGCAACGTTTTCAAGTTCCATATTTCAATTAAATTTCTTGTCTTTAAGTAGAATAATATTGCCTTATCATCTGTCTCTTCAGTGCTATCTACAGAATCACCACTAGAAATATACACATCTCTTCCAAAATTTTCGCCAATTCCGCTGGTGTTACTACTTCTACCATCTGTTCCTCCTTCCTTTTTCTGGTTAACAGGATGGTGAATATTTGAATATTTTCTCCTTTGAATAAAGCTCATAAATGCTGACCGATAACTTTTCCACATGTGCAAAATGTTCAATGTACAGATGTTGAAGAGGCAGATTCGTCCTAAGTTATCCAAAGCTAGAACTAAATTTTGATTCCATGGACAAATACAAATATCTATAATTTGTCTTTTCGAATCATTAAAACAATGTATGATTTGTGTATTCAATACATCCCCTGTGTTTCCATATATATTTGATGTGATTTGATGTGGATTGTTGGATATTGTAGGTTCTATGTTTTGAATTGCGAGAGAAGGGGTTGTTACAGAAGAGGAACTTACTACTACCTTTGAAGCTAATAAAGATGAAGGAGATGCTGGGGAAACAGACATGGATGAAGATGAGACAGATATGTCATTCTTCTTTGTAAACATATTTTTTATAAAATTATTTATTCTAGAACTCAATTTTTCCGATGCACCAAAGTTTTCCTTCTTTGTTAAGAAATCATTGTTTACATTTTGACGTACAAGACTAAGAATAGACATGGTTATACACTTGGATGTTATAACATAATTCGCATTAGAAATTCTGCAATAGTTGACATAGTGTGTATTAATCGAATCTGTGATA